GGCGGCGCGGCGCGAGCGGCGGCTGCAGGAGGCGCGGGCGCTGCACCAGTTCGGCGCCGACCTCGACGGGCTCCTCGACTGGCTTCGCGACGCGTACCGCCTAGCAGCCGCGGGCGACTTCGGCCACGACGAGGCGTCCAGCCGCCGCCTGGCCCGCCAGCACCGCGCGCTCACCGGGGAGGTGGAGGCGCATCGCGGGCCCGTGGGCGGCCTGCGGCGTCAGTTGGCGACACTGGGGGGCGCCAGCGGCGCCGGGCCACTGGTGGTGGCCCTGCAGGTGCGCGTGGTGGAGGCGGAGCAGTTGTTCGCCGAGGTGACCGAGGTGGCTGCGCTGCGGCGCCAGTGGCTGCGAGACGCCCTGGCGGTCTACCGCATGTTTGGCGAAGTGCACGCGTGCGAGCTGTGGATCGGTGAGAAGGAGCAATGGCTGCTGGCCATGCGTGTGCCCGATTCGCTCGACGACGTCGAGGTGGTGCAGCACCGGTGAGCGCGCCCTCCTGGGACTTCCAGGTCCCCTTTCTCACGCACACAGCCTCGCCTTCGTGCATCAACAGTTCCCATTTTCTCTCAGCTGCGACCAGGGGTTCCAGTGACATGGGAGTGATAATAGTCCCCACCTCACAGGTGACGAGTAATGAGGAAATACTTAATAGAACACCGAGCAAATACCTGGTACAGGGAGCATTTCAGGGGCGTTTGCTATCATTACGGGACTTACACTCACTTGGCGGGAAATTAAAACTTCTCAAGACACCGCAACCTGGCCCCTCCCCTGGGACTGCCGCGGTCCCTGCACAAATGTCACCTCCCTAGCTAATGAAATGCCTCGGACCCTGTCACTTTCTCTTCCATCACCCTGTTTTACATTTCTTCATAGCATTTACCCGCTGTGACACGTTGCATACATCGGTCTGTTGGCTGACTTAGTAATGAATTGTGAAATTAGTGGATGAGCCCTTTTGTTCACCTACTCATTCATTCATCTGGAACTTATTGAGCTCTTGCTCTGTTCTCGGTCTTGTGCTGGGCATAGCTGAGACCCAGGCCTGGTCCCTGCCCTTACTGTGCCCACAATTACCCAAGCCACAGCTTTGGGCATTTGTTTTAAAAAAGGGAGGACTGTGCCCAGCTTTAAAAAGATCTCCCTGGGGGCGCCTGGGTGGCGCAGTCGGTTGAGCGTCCGACTTCAGCCAGGTCACGATCTTGCGGTCCGTGAGTTCGAGCCCGGCGTCAGGCTCTGGGCTGATGGCTCGGAGCCTGGAGCCTGTATCCGATTCTGTGTCTCCCTCTCTCTCTGCCCCTCCCCTGCTCATGCTCTGTCTCTCTCTGTCCCAAAAATAAATAAATGTTGAAAAAAAAAATTTTTAAAAAGATCTCCCTGGCTGCCACGTAGAGGGTATGTTGGAGGGGTTGAGAATGGTGGCTGGGAACCCAGAGAGGTACAAAAACCATGTGAGCCGAAACCGAGAGTCAGACGCCCATCCGACTGAGCCACTCAGGTGCCCCTGAGAAATGTAACACTTAAGGGACCGGTAGAAGGGGGAGGAGCTGGCACAGGGTCCTAAGAGGATAAGAATTAGAAGGAAATCCAGGAGAAGGCCAAGACGTGGGCAGGTCCCCAGGGTCCAGGCCTGCTTGAGCACGACCCTCCTCCTTCCACAGATTTGAGAGCCTGGACCAGGAGATGAACAGTCTGATGGGCCGTGTCCTGGATGTGAACCACACGGTTCAGGAGCTGGTGGAAGGAGGCCATCCCAGTTCAGATGAGGTGCGCTCCTGCCAGGACCACCTCAACAGCAGGTAGGCGGGGCCTGGCGCCTCAGGCCAGTTCTTTTCCTTCATTCTTTTCCTCATCCACTCAACTGTTGCGAGTCGAGGATGTGCAATTTCGACACCCTGAGGTGATCGTGGCCACCTAGGAAGTCAGCAAAATCTTGGAGGAAAATGGTAATACCCAGTGCTGGTGAGGATGTGGTAAAATGAGGATACGATATATTTTAGTGGATTATTAATTGGCTTGTACAGATATGATTTACTGAGGATCTACTATCTGCCGGGAATTTTTCTAAGCACTTTATATGCCTTGTTTTATCTTTTGATATCCCAGTTTCCATAGTAAAGTTTCCAGAATTCAGAACTCTTTAAAAATGGATACTCTGGTTTGTCTTCAGATCGTATAAATCTTTCGCCTTTTACTAAAAATGGTAACAAATTAATATCTTTCCCCCTTGAACACTACCAGCTGTTTTTCCAATGTGGGTAGGGTTCATAGATGAAGACAGATTCGGGGAGGCGGAATCCTTAATATGATTGATTACCCGGTACAGTAAGTAGGAGGTCAAACCTAATGCTGTCTGAATCTGGATCTGGGGCTCTTGAGCATCTTTTATTAGTCTTTTCAGCAACCCTTTGGGGCATGAATTGCTCCATGTTAGAGAAGAGGAAACTGGGGCTCCAGAGATGCGAAGACACCGGCCCAAAGTCACACAGCAAAGTAGGGAGGGTCAAGCCAGGATTTCACGTTGAGTTTGTCTGACTCAAAGCTATACTCTTTTTTTTTTCTTTTCTTTATTTTTGAGAGAGAGAGAGAAAGCGCACACACGGTAGGGGCAGAGAGAGAGAGGGAGAGAGAGAAAGAATCCCAAGCAGACTCCACACTGTCCTAGCACGGAGCCCGATGCAGGGCTGAGAAATGTACCATGAGATCATGACCTGAGTGGAAAACAAGAGTCGCTTGCTCACCCAACTGAGCCCCCTCAGGAGCCCCTCAAAGACGGTATTCTTAACTGCTGTGCTGTAAGATTCCAATAACCAGTGATAACCTACAGAGGTAGCCTTGACACTCTCAAAGCATCAAGATCTCAAATGACAACAACAAAGATTGACAGTGCTTAATAAGGTTATATGCCAAGTGCTTTAGCCACAAGATATCATTAGACGCTCAGTGAAATGGACATTATTATTCCCATTTTCCAGATGAGGAAGCTGAGGAGCAGCAGGAAATGATTTGCCCAAGGTCACATGATGAATCTGGCCAAAGCAGATCTTGAACTTGGGTCCTTCTGATTTCAGAGTCCTAATCTCTGCTCTGTGGCATGTCCATTCTAGAGGGGACAGAGAGACAGTGAACAAATAAACAAATAAATGAACAAGATATTTAGAGAGTTCAAGTGACCTGGTAGAACACAACTGGGGGCTGGAGGTGATTTTAATTTTTTTTAATGTTTATTTATTTTTGAGAGAGAGAGAGAAAGACAGAGTGTGAGTGGGGGAGGGGCAGAGAGAAGAAGGGAGACACAGAATCTGAAGCAGGCTCCAGGCTCTGAGCTGTCAACACAGGCCCAGTGAAGTGTCATCACTTGCTTGAGGGCCCAAAGAAATCCGTATTTTTTCCCATTAATTTATTTTGATATAGAACAGATTTGCCTGTACATCATTTGATCCTCAGCACTTGGCTTGTGGAATGTACCCGGTTTCTATTTGCTGGATGCAACATAGTATTCTTACACTTTTTACACTGTGGGATCAGAATCCCTTTGCTCTCCTAAAAACTGTTCGGGGCCCCAAAGAGCTTGTTTTCGTGAGTTATATCTATCAATATTTACTGTGTTGGGAATTAATACTGGGAAATGTAAAGATATTAAGTTGTCTTAAAATAACAATAATAGGGGCGCCTGGGTGGCTCAGTCAGTTAAGCGTCCAACTCTTGATTTCACATCAGGTTATAATCTCGAAACTTGTGAGTTCAAGCCCCGCATTGGGCTCTGTGCTGACAGTGCGGAGCCTGCTTGGGATTCTCTCTCTCCCCCTCTCTCTCTCTGCCCCTCCTCCACTCACTCTCTCTCAAACTAAATAAACAAACTTAAAAAAATAAAATAATAATAAACCCATTATGTTAATGTAACCAGCATACTCATATATTTTATGAAAAATAACTGCTTTTCATAACAAAAAATGTAGTGAGTGGCATTGTTTTGTGTTTTTGCAAGTCTTTTATGAAAAAAAAAATTTTTAAGTTTATTTATTTTGAGAGAAAGAGAGCACAAAACTGGGGGAGGGGCAGAGGGAGAGGGAGAGAGAGGGAATCCCAAGCAGGCTCCGCACTGTCAGCATGGAGCCCCATGCTGGGCTTGAACTCACCAACCGGGAGGTCATGACCTGAGCCAAAATCAAGAGTTGGAGGCTTAACCAACTGAGCCACTCAGGCGCCCCACATCTCTTTGATGTCTGGCTGAAGAGAAGGCAGCCGAATTCTCGGATCTGCTTCTGTGTTCTGCCTTTTCTCACGCAGCCTCTGGGAAGGACCCTGGACACCAGGGAGAGAATAGGGAGAGGGCAAACGGCGTCTTAGTCTTAGCGTTATTACAAAGATACTTTTGACCTCGCTCAGCTTACATTTTGAGAACCGCTGCTCTAAGCAAGTGTGCCTTGTAGGGTTTTATTTTACACCAGCAGAAACTGGGGCCCAGCGAGATAAAGTGACTTTCCAAAGTCACACAGTGGCTGGGTTCTATCCCAGGTCGTTGGGCCCTCCAGGCCCAGGAGGAGTCCCTGTCCTCCTCAAGCCGCCCTCCTTCCCCCCACCAACCCCCCCCCCGCAGGTGGAACCGCATCGTGGAGCTGGTGGAACAGCGCAAAGAGGAGGTGAGCGCAGTGCTGCTGGTGGAGAACCACGTGCTGGAAGTGGCCGAAGTGCGCGCCCAGGTGCGCGAGAAGCGGAGGGCCGTGGAGAGCGCGCCCCGAGCGGGCGGCGCCCTGCAGTGGCGTCTCAGCGGCCTGGAGGCGGCTCTCCAAGCTCTGGAGCCCCGCCAGGCGGCCCTCCAGGAGGAGGCGGCCCTGCTGGCCGTGCGCTTCCCGGCTCAGGCTGCGCGGCTGCACCAGGGTGCGGAAGAACTGGGCGCCGAGTGGGGCGCGCTGGCCAGCGCGGCTCAGGCCTGTGGCGAGGCCGTGGCCGCGGCCGGGCGCCTGCAGCGCTTCCTGCACGACCTGGACGCTTTCTTGGACTGGCTGGTGCGCGCCCAGGAGGCGGCGGGCGGTGTCGAGGGCCCCCTGCCCGGCAGCCTGGAAGAGGCCGATGCGCTGCTGGCTCGCCACGCGGCGCTCAAGGAGGAGGTGGACCAGCGCGAGGAAGACTATGCCCGCATCGTGGCGGCCAGCGAGGCGTTGCTGGCGGCCGACGGCGCCGAGCTGGGCCCGGGCTTGGCACTCGACGAGTGGCTGCCGCACCTGGAACTCGGCTGGCACAAGCTGCTCGGCTTGTGGGAGGCGCGCAGGGAGGCCCTGGTGCAGGCACACGTCTACCAGCTCTTTCTGCGCGACCTACGCCAGGCTCGGGCTGTGCTGCGCAACCAGGTGGCCGCTTCGGGGTTCACGCGGTGGGGGATTGTGGCGACGGGGGAAAATGTATGGAGGGAGTTTTTGCAGGGACCGCTGCGTTCGTGGCTTGTCCGAGGTCAGTGGGAGCGGGGAGGGTGTCTGGGATCGCGGGTTTGTGGCTCATCCAGTGTGAACACGTGTGGGCAGGTGTGTAACAGGATTTGAGGATTAGTGTTTTATCTAAGGTGGCTAACAGTGTGTGCACTATCCCAAGTCAGTAATGCAATGGATATACATTGCACTGGCTTCCTGCGTTTGTGGATTGTCTGGAAGGAAATAAGAAGGTGAGGTTAATCGATGATGGTTAATGGGGTTCAAAGATCTTGGGGTGGATGAGGGAGGATAAAGATTATGGAAACAGGTAATTCAGGCTGAGAGGTTATCTGGATCAGCAATTGATTGTGGATTATGTGGTTGTGGGTGCCCAAATTAGCAGATAATCTTCTTATTGGGAATGGCAATGTGCATTCCTTATGGAGAGGGTAACTGTTTATGGTTTGAGAGATGAAGTGCCATGGTTATCTGGGATGTGCGCATCCATTGGGAGATCATTCTGGGATGGGAACCAAGTTTGAGCATTTGGACAAGACAGAACATCCTGTTTTCAGATTGCCCAAGAGTAGGTACCAAGCTTTGGAGATTTTAGAAAGGGTGACCACCAGTGCTGGTCATCTAGTGAAAGCTGACCCAGTTTGAGGGTTAACTGGGGGGACAGACAGGGAGCCCCCGGAATTCTGAGGATACTGAATATGGGAAGTGAGGTGGCCTTAAGAGAACCTTTCTAACCCACCCGTCTTACCAGTTAGAAAAATAATCCCAGAGAGGGAAAGAACTTCCTTGAAGTCACACAGCACCCAGTTCAGGCGTCATCAGTTAACCAAGTATTTACTGAGTGCCTCCTTTGTGCCAGGTACTATTCTGGGACTGAGCACACATTAGGAAACAAAACACAAAATCCCACCCTCGTGCAGCTGGCCTTCTAGTGTGTGTGGGGAGGGAGAAGATGATAAACAAGTAAATGCAAATATATATTTATGTATATATATATGTATACATATACATATATACATATACATATATATATACACACACACGATATATATGATATCATGTCAGGTAATGCTGTGAAAGATAATAAAGCAGGGTAAAGGGATAGAACTGGGGTGCAGGGTGGTGTTTTTGGCAGATGGCCAGAGACCTAAAGAAAGTTAAGGAGCCCACTATGGGCATATCTGAAAGGAGGGACCAGCCAGGCAGAGGGACTAGCATGGGCAAAGGCCCTGAGGTGGGCTCATGCCTGGCCTGTTGGATGCTAGAGCACAGTGAGCAAGGGGGAGGAGCGAGGTGGCAAGCCTCTCCCAGGTCCAGGACGGAATGGAGCAGGGCGGACCTGAGCACCACCCCTCCTCCTCATTCCCAGGAGGTGGCACTGTCGGGTCTGGAGCTCCCGGGCACGGTGGAGTCAGTGGAGGAGGCACTGAAAAGGCACCGGGATTTTCTCACCACGATGGAGCTGAACCAGCAAAAGATGCAGGTGGCGGTGCAGGCTGCCGAGGGCCTGTTGAGGCAGGGCAACGCCTACGGAGAGCAGGCCCAGGAGGCTGTGACCCGGCTGCTGGAGAAGTAGGTCCCTCGGACCCCAGAGGCACAGGGGGTGTGGTCTGGGCATAGGGGGTGTGGTCTCGGCACGGCGGTGTAGTTTGAGCATAGTGGGCGTGGTCCAGGCGGGGCGGGTGTTGTCTCAGTACCGGGAGTGTGGTCTCGGCACAGGGGGTGTGGTTTGGGCATAGCGGGTGTGGTCTCGGCACAGGGGAGGGATCAAGAGGTCCGGGCTCCTCTGCTTTACATCATGATTTCTGCTTCTCTTCCCCTCTTGGATTTTTATTTAATTCCATACCGTTTTAAATTTGCTTTAAATTGATACTTTGCGGAAAGGTAACTCATGCTCAGAAACCCAAAAGGTACACAAGGATATATAATGAAGTTGCTCTGCCAAGCCTGCCCTCAGTCTGAGGTAGCTGAACTGGTTGTTAACGTGTTGACTTCTTTTCCTGGATGCCCTGCATCTGCGCTGCCCTTCTGGTGCCCCGATCTAGCAGCTAAAGGCTAGAGCCGGGTTCTGTTCTAGCTCTCTAGATGGGACAGTGTCCCCTGCCATGCTGGTTGTCGGATATTGTGAGTGAGCACCTCCCTCTGGGCCCAACTGCCCAGTTTCCTAGGAAGCACACATGGTGTGTGTGTGTGTGTGTGTGTGTGTGTGTGTGTGT